CCTGAAAAGTTGTTTTTTTGCAAAGCTGGGCTGGTCTGAGTTTCATAAGGTTAGTGTGCAAAAAATGATTTTCTAGCGCCTGAAAAGTTTTTTTTTGCAAAGCTGGGCTGGTCTGAGTTTCATAAGGTCAGTGTGCAAAAAAAACAACTTTTTAGAGTCTGATCAGTTGTTTTTTTGCCAAGCTGGGCTGGTCTGAGTTTCATAAGGTTAGTGTGCAAAAAACAATTTTTCGGAGCTCGAAAAATTGTTTTTCTGCAGAGCGCTGCTTCCGTAAACTTTGTTGCTTACTCTAGCTAGTCTTGTTGTTGATTGCCTTGTTTATGGAAAGGAAGCCAAGATCCCATAGCTCAGTTGGTAGCGCATCGGGCTAAGGACCTGGGGTCGCGGGCTCAATTCCCGACATCGTCCTTTGGACCGGGTTTTCTAGCAAACAATGTTCCAGGTCCGAGTTGGAAGCACTCCAAGCATGCGCGAAAAAAACATCGGAGCTTGAAAAACTGATTACTGCAAAGCCTCAGTTTTCTTCAAGTTATTAAAGAAAACAATATTTCAGGTCCCCAAGTCTACCCATATATTGATTTTGTGTGGATTGGAAGCAGTCCAAGCATGGGGGAAAAACATCGAGCCTGAAAAGTTGTTTTTCTGCAAAACCCGATTTCATCCCATAAGACCATATAAGGGATCACGCCGCAAAAAAAAGGAAACGCAAAGGGGAATTGCAAACCTTACGTATAAGGAGCAACTTAAGAATTTGGCAATCCTATTCCAGGGTCCCTCAAATTCTTAAAGTCTTATGTGTTTAGTACAACTGAAAATATGTAGCCCGCCTTGGATTCGAGCCCCTCAAATTCTTATACAGTGAATTCTTGTACAATACTCAAGCTGTATCACCGAAGCAATTACGATGATTCAGGTTTGCTGCGGAAAAACATGCTGCGCCTCTTCCAAATCTAGACAGCGAAGCCGGCACTAGCCACTAGTCTCAATACGTGGAATAGAACATGCCGAACATGATTCAACATCTTTCAGTTGCAAGCATCGCAAAACCCACCCAAATCACAATGAAAGAGTATCGAACTGGTTTATTGCGCGGCAGCGCAGGGTGTTGCAAGCTTTTTCGTGCTATTGCAAGCTACTGTATTCAATTTATTACAAGGTATATTTATATATATGTAATGTACGTATATTAAATTTATATATACTTATACTTCATTATATTTCAAATTCTTGCCAGCTATTGCAAGAGATTCCAGGCTATTCCAAGGTACTCCGAGCCGTTGTAAGCTATTCCAAGCTATTTGCAAGACATTGCAAGATCTCGTAAGGGAGTGCAAGCTAGCGCAAGTTACTGCACGATCAAGCTAGTGCAAGCTATAGTGCCAGCTATTGAAAGATATTGCGAGCTATGTCAAGCTATTGCAAACCATTGCTAGGTATTGGAAGGTACTGTAAAATAAGGTATTGCAAACTATTGCAAACTAGCGCGAGCTGTTGCAGGCGATGGCAAACTGCTGCAAATAATTGAAAGCTGTTGCCTACCAAATCACTGGGTTTGAAGAAGTCGTTGCGTGTTTTTTGTTTTTGTTGACACTGCATGGCTTCCAAAAGAACATCACCGTCCACATCCTGCACCCTCACAATGTTGGTCATTGTCCCAATTATGGTGCATGCTCATTATCATCATCATCGTCATCGTCGTCATCATCATCATCATCACCATTTGCATAATGATCGTCATCGTCACCATCATCACCATCAGCATCAGCAGCATCATAAGCATCATTCGATAAACGATGCGCTTATTCGATGCCTCGACTGCGCCGTTTTACGGTGGTGGGTGCAGGGGCCATATGGAGCTTGTGAAGCCAACACGAGCCAATATAGTAATACATCATGTCCCTTCTTAATGTTGCCTATAATGCCTTTGATCCCAATGTGCTCTACCTGTAGGCCATAAACCCGTCATTTCCCCAATCTTTGCACGGTTGTAAAGTTGTACCCTCACAGCATGTGCGCTCCTGCAGATTGAGTTTGCACCAGAACTTGCTTCTACTTTGTTCAATATCAAAGGCCTTTGACCAGAACCATTAGATTTTGGTGTGGCCCGTATTCTTCGCAGGATGGATTTGCAGCATATTCGGTCAGCTACAAGGGCGAGATGACGCAATTTTCAGCTACAGAGGCAGGGACTGGTGCAGGACACCACGTATCAAAAGTATCGCCCAACATTCCTCAACTGCATTGTGAAACAACAAGTGCAAAAGTGAATGTACTAAGCATATACAGTCACTGCATGCAGCCGCTGTTGCTTTGCATTTAGGTGGCAGCAATGTTTCTCACAAAGCTGAAACAGGTCACTGAGGACGCTACTGTTGGGGCTTTCCAGCTTCACGGAACAGCGGGATAAACAGAAGTAAACAGGAGGAGCAGGGAGGAATCCAAGGAAGGAACGAAGCAAACGAAGCCAGGCTTAGGAGCCCTTGATGAAAGAATGCTTTCATTGCTTATTTGGTGACTGGTCGGACACCCGGAAGATTAAGCAGTGTCGATTGCGCAGGACTGGTGCGGAGCAAAGGTAGCAGATGCCGTGATTGCTGTCCCATCGTCTTTCTCCGATTTTCAGCGTCGCTTCCCCATATCTTCATACCAGTATCGTCAAGTGATGATGATGTTTTCCGGGGTACCGGTGGGTCATTTCAAAGTGCCTCAGCAGGGACCATGTTCCAAATGAGGACAAGCTCTTCTGGATGCCGCTTCTATAGCAGACCTCAATGTTCTCCGCGTATTTTTCCCAGCTAAATCGACACACTGCTCAACACTATGCAGCGGTTTTGTGAAACACAGATCAAAAGGTTCCGGTTCGATCCAACCATTTTTGGACTAGGAGATGTCAAATTATCAAAGTTGAGTTGTCGTGAACGTTGCGCCTGACATAGATATCGCTACATAAGTATATATGCAAGTATGCTGCAGATGTCATACTGTGGTTTACTGTGTATATATAATATATATATAATATATATATATATTTATACACACATATATATATATGTGTGTGTGTGTGTTGTAGAGCTTTGCGCCCCGGCGATGCCCTTCGGGTTGGAGGCGTTCGTGGCTGTCAAGCTGAGGAGTTTGCGTTGGCAGCATAGGTTTGAACAGGGTTGGTATTTTAGGGAAGCTGAGGGTTACTCAGAGCAGCAGAGGTAGGCCGAAAGTGCGATCAAGTCCCTGGAGAAGGGCAGAGTGCTGCGGGCAGCGCAAAAGAGGAGGACAGATAGCAAACATGTGTGTGTGTGCACATTACCAGTGTTGAGCAGAAGGATGTGTATGGATAGAGTCACATGCAGAGAAGTCTGTAAAAGACACATGGCAGTGAGTGGAAGGGTTCAGCGCGGCAAGCGGGGCTACTCCGCCACGGCAAAAGACACACATACGTATGCGTAAGCGTACCATAATTGATCTTTTGTGCAGCTTCCCGGTGCCCTAACTGCTCACATCGCTCTTGTTTGTTGTGGTTGTGGTGGTTGTGGTGGTTGTGGTGGTTGTGGAGGTTGTGGTGGTTGTGGTGGCTGTGGTGGCTGTGGTGGTTGTGGAGGTTGTGGTGGTTGTGGTGGTTGTGGTGGTTGTGGTTGTGGTTGTTGTGGTTGTTGTGGTTGTTGTTGTTGCTGCTACGTTCGCAACTTTTTTCTCAGTCTCGTTGTGGCCGAATATCATCAAATAGGTTGTATGTCTTTAAACTCTCGGAGCAAAAAACACCGCAAATACCGATGTTTTTTTGCGCCTCGGAAGCCAAAAACCACGGCATTAACGATGTTTTGAAACATTCGGTAGCAAAAATCACAGCATTTACAATGTTTTTGGCTAATGCCTAGCAAAAACACTGGTATTTACGCAGTTTTCAGCATGTTGCAAGAAGTACTTTTTCCATGCCAAAGGCACCAAAACTCTGTAAATTACGGTGTTTTGGCTCTTGGCACGCACGGAAAAAAATAGCAAAATTTTGCCAAAAAAGTGGACAAAAATGGACCTTCTAAAACCCTCCTTAGCAGCATGCCCCGTTTTTATCCGTGCTCCGCGGCCCAAAAGCGTGAAAACACCAATAGAGTGAAGGATTTTGGCAGGGTGCCGGCGGCAGGCGCGCCCCCGGGTAGCTAAAGCTAGCTGCAGGCTACACACACGGCACGGCGGCATCGCCCGATTTTAGACCTGACGCTCATCGTCGGCTCCGCCAATTACTTGACCCTCTATTTCATGTAGGTCAGTGGCCGTTTCATCGCAGGGTGGACCTGAAAGTTATTGAATTGCTTCTGTTGGAGAACCTGCTTCAGAAATAGATTCTCTATGTCTTGCCGAACATATTAATGGACTTGATGAAGTGGAACTTTGTTATAAATTTGTTGTTTTTTTGGGAGCAGGTGTGAAGGTTTGTTCCCGAAGCTAAATTCAAACTTTCACTTCCTGTGCTCCTCTGCCCAAAGACTTCCAAAGCTTCTGTGTGTAAAACTTCTCTGTGTAAAGGCTCCTCTGTGTAAAGGCGTCTCTGTGTGTAAAAGCTTCCGTGTGTAAAAGCCCCTGTATGTAAAAACTTCTGAGTAAAAGACCCTATGTATAAAGACTCCTCTGTGTAAAACCTCTGTGTGTGTAGACGCGTTTGTGTATCAAGGCTTCTCTGTGTAAAGGTAAAAGCTTCTGTGTGTAAACGCTTCTGTGTGTAAAGACATCTCTGTCTAAAAGCTTCTGTGTGTAAAAGCTTCTCTGTGTAAAGGCTCGTCTGTTCAAAGATTTGTCTGTGTAAAGACTTTTCTGTGCAAAAGCAACTCTGTGCAAAGAGATTCTCTGTGTAAAAGCGCCTGTGTGTATAAGCTTCTCTGTGTAAAAGCCCCTCTGTGTAAAGTGTAAAGATTTCTCTCCGTGCAAAAGCTTCTGTAAAAGCTTCTGTGTGTAAAAGCCACTCTGTGCAAAGACTTCGCTGTGTAAAAGCTCCTGTGTGTGCAAGCTTCTCTGTGTAAAAGCTCGTGGGTGTAAGAGCTTCTGTGTGAAAGTGCTTCTGTGTGTAAACAGCTCCTCTATGTAAAGACTCCTCTGTGTAAAAGCTTCTGTGTGTAAACGCGTCTGTGTGTAAAGCTCTCTGTGTAAAGACTTCTCTGTGTAAAAGCTTCTGTGTGTAAAAGCTTCTGTGTGTAAACGCTTTTGTGTAAACCCGTCTTTGCGTGAACGTTGTTTCTTGTAGAAGAATGCGAAGAACATCTGAATAGCAGCGCTCGTTCAAAAATTGAACGCTAAAAGCGCACAAAGTGCTGTAATTTGTAGCATTTAAACAGCATGCCACTGAAAGACGGATCGTGCCCTCGGCCTGCCGCTGCTGGTGCCTAGCGGCATATTCTGAATCGGCAAGAACCTCTAGTTCCAAGCTGCAGCTCTCAGGCCTCCACAACGCACCCTCGCCACACCGAAACAGCATGCCACTGAAGGACGGATTGTTCCCTCGGCCTGCCTCTGCTGGTGCCTAACATCGCTTTTCCGATCAGAAAGAAACTAGCTCCAAACTGCAGCTCTCAGGCCTTCAAAACGGACCGCTCGCCACACCGAAACAGCATGCCACTGAAGGCCGGGTTATTCCCTCGGCCTGCCGCTGCTGGTGCCTAACGTCGCTTTCTGGATGCCAGTGAAGGCTGGATCGGCGTGCCGCTGCTGGTGCCTAATGTCCCTTTCTGAAATGGTAGAACTAGCTCCAAGCTGCAGCCCTCAGGCTTCCAAAATGGACCCCTCGCAACACCAAAACAGCATGCCACGGATTGTTCCCTCGGCCTGCCGCTGCTGGTGCTTAACATCGCTTTTCCAATCGGAAAGAAATTAGCCCCAAACTGCAGCTCTCAGGCCTCCACAACGGACGCCCTTGCCACACCGAAGAGACCGAAGCCTAACGTCGGCTTCTGAATCGGCAAGAAATCTAGCTCCAAACTGCAGCTCTCAGGCCTCCAAAACAGACCCCTTCCCACACCGAAGCCTAACGTCGTCTTCTGAATCTGCAAGAAACTAGCTCCAAACTGCAGCTTTCCGAAATGCAGCGAACAAGCTCCAGTGTCGGCGCGAGCTTCGTCTTGCTCCTTGTGTCGTGTTTCCGGCCTCTTGTGCTGGCTTATTGCTCTTGACGCTAACTTGCCTATATTTGCCCTCGTGTGTCCGGCCTTCTTGTGCTGGCGTCTTGGCTTCTTGCCTTCTTGCTTTTGCCGACTCTTGCCGCTGACTTGCTTATTTATTCTTATTCTTGCTCCTTGTGTCGTGTCCCCTCTTCTCTGACGCGCTCCTCCTGCGTCGGCCGGGGTCGGCGGATATTCACAGATATATATATATATATTATATATATATATATATAATATGTCAGTTGCGGGTTGGAACTGCTGTTGGAGCTCAAGAGCTTCCGGAGCAATTTCCATGTCCACCCCCGAAGGATAGATGAGATGTGTATCTGTTGCTGACCTGGACTCGTGGTGTGAGAAAGGTATGCTGTTTTGTTGTGCTGCAGGTAGTCAACGATCACACCGCGACCGCGCTCGAGTCCCTTCCTTACAGTACTGTATCAATCCCTAGCCAATAATCTGTGCACTGTGCTCTGCTGCTCTGCGCCGTAATGCAACGTAATGCATTGCAAAGAAATGTTCAATGCCTGTGCGCACACATGCGTATACCTACGCCGCCTCATGCCGCCCAGGTGGATAGGTGAAGTTCTGTGCCACTGACAACATTTTATATTACACCTGCATGATCCTATGTGGACCTACGTGCTATGTCTGGTGCAGCGCGCGCTCTTGTACTTGTCCTGCGTACCGTCTTCTCCCTTGAATGCGAACTACACCTTTTCATGCTGCTTGCTACATACTGCTTCCTATTGATTATATTCGCGAAAATCCTTCTTAGCAGGTGAGTAATTCGATTCTATCGTAGTAGTTGCTTTCTGCATCTTTCTGCTATGCTCCTGATCCTACTTCTGCTATCTTCTGCTTGCAGCTTCTTTCGGCCACAGCTTCTGCAGCTCCACAGCGACCATGACTATGACCCTGACCACCTGGAGCGCTGATGACCGCTACCACTTCCACTGCTCCTCCTGGAGTACCACAAGCAGAGTGATACTATGACATACTATGACTACGTTGTGCAACTGAGATTTTCACATTCCTTGAGAGCTCGACATTGTTGGCATTCGCTTTCACGATTCTATTCCTGCTCCTGCTCCTGCCCGCACTACCTACCAGTGCTTCTCGGCTCTTGGAACTTCAGTCGCATGCCAATTACATACATACATTACCTTGCTGCTGCAACATCAAATCGGATCCGGCCAAGGTAAGGAGGGAGGTCGGTAGACCGGATCATGCGCGCGTGTGCGAGTGGGGGTGCAGGTGTGTGGATGTGCTTGTTTGTGTTTGTTTGTGTTTTTGCGTTTGCCTCGTTAGATATACAAGGACAAGTTCGATCAACGCGCACGGCAGGGGGCAGAGGTGCTCATGGCTCTTGATCAGCCAGCGAAGCTTGGTGACATGTGGCACGCTTATCGATCGCTTGATCTATATACATACCTGCAGATCCTGCAGGTCTATGATCACTGGAGTTTTACACTACTGACAAACGGCTGTGTTGCGACCTTGCATGGCTGTTTTGGTTTGTTTTGTGCCTATTATTGGTGTTGTTGTTTTGTTGTTGGCATTCGGTTATATCAGGACTCAAAGCTTTGTGCATCTAATCCCATTTCCCATGCACAGCAACATTCTAGCTGCCACAATGATGATCAGCTGAAAACTCACGCATCAAGAGGGCAATATTTTTCGATCTGGTCCCTTGGACACACGATCAAGTTATTGTTTAGCAGAAAACCCCGTGCTGCTGAGCCGGCAGAGTTTTTGTCCCCACATCAGACACTGCTCTTATGTTTTTTCCAAAAGCGTTGGGAGCTGTTTTGCTGCGTTGCATGGCTATCTAGCGTTTATTGTTCAATAGTTCTTTTTGCTGTTGGCCTTTTGGGCATTTGAGGACCGGGTTTCCTAGGACTCCTCTAGCGAGTGCAAGAAAATAGTCACAGCATGTCACAGCCTTTCACGCTGCAACCCATCTCCAGTGTGTTTTTGTGTGCGTGTTTGCGCATGCGTTCGCGTTTGTGCTGCTAAGTAGCTCTTCAAGATGAGCAGGGAAAGACACTTATACCGCAAAGGTTGAAAGGACAGCTTCACTTTCCCGCAAGCATGTGACTTGATGAGCAAGCTTTGGAGCACGCGGACAAAGATGGACTTCAAGCAATACTTATGCGACTTGCTTACATGAGCCTTGGAAAGTGCGCTGCAGGTATGGTTTTTTCCGAAATGCTAATTTCGACGCAGAGAAGCCAACCACTGTTGCATTTTGCCAAATGGGTAGCTTGGCGAACAATTCAGCTTTGTGGACTGGCGGCGCGCAGACCTGCAGGTGAGCGCACCCGCGGATCTTTGGAGAGAGATGTTTGCAAAAGATGGTGAAGAAGTGAACAATATTTTGAATATTTTAGAAGTGCAAAACTGGTCAGCATTCCAAGCCCTGAAGCTTTGCAAAGCTTGTCTTGGCGCCTTCAAAGGTCACTCCAACTTCTCTGTTGCAATTGTCCAGTTTTTGAAGGGCAAGCTGGAAGTGCTTTGTGAGAGATCAGACAAGGCCGAGATTCAGCAAGGATGGACGTTCATATTTAGCAACGAAGGCCTAAAGGCCTTTGCATAGAGGCGTTGTATGAACCAGAACGCAGGTGGGTGGTCGTGACATGGACGAATGCCTCATCCGAGCCTTTGCAGAACAGCCCCTTGACGCGGTGTTTTGGATTGTTCCCGAAAGCTCCTGCGAAGGGTTTTTCCCAAAGAACTGCTGCCAACTTGAACTTTTCATTCCATCTACACAACATCTCCTACACCCTTTACATCACGTACATCATCTACATCATCTTCATCTACATCATTCTGCATCGCATACATCATCTACATCTCCTACATCTCTAGCTATATCCTTTACATCATCTACATCATCTACATCATCTGCATCAATTTCATTTACATCACATACATCATCTACATCACATACATCAACGTCAATCAGTTTCATCTACATCACATACATCATCTGCAGCAACTTTTTCTAACGGTGCTCAACCGCCACATATCCCCTACAAAAATTTTTCCATGTCATTGACACAGGAGTTCTTACACAATGTTATTGACACAGGAGTTCTTACACAGGAGTTCTCACATAGGAGTTCTTACACAGAAGTTGTTGCACAGGAGTTTGTTTACACAGCTGTTCTTTTACAGGAGTTGTTACACAGGGGTTCTTCTACAGGAGTTGTTACGCAGGAGTTGTGACACAGGAGTTAACTTCTAGGTGATCTACTTGTATCTGAACTCTTACAAAACCTCCTGCTCCTCAAGTTCTTCTAAGTTCTATCTTAAGGCAGCAGGGGCAGCGAAAAACCAAATTGCGAAACACGACCCTCTGCGGAGATAGCGCGTGTCAGATGCACAAACGTGTGGTGAAATGCGAATTTGTCTTGGTTGCGAGCAACCCTCTGCGGAGATCGCGCGTGTCGGACGCACAAACGTGTGGTCAAATGCGAATAAATCAGTCCGGCGCAACCCTCTGCGTGGATCGTGCGCGGCCCCCCCTTTCGCGCGGAATGAGCGCCAAAGGTCAAAACTGGGTTAATTTCTTCTGACACCACTAATTTTAGATATTTTCACTTCATCGAAGGAAGTTTAGAAGTCAAACTTCCGACAATATGGACAGATGAAAAGCAGAGATGGAAAGGGTCAGAGAGAAGAGAAAGAGTAGAAGAGAGAAGAGTAGAAGAGAGAAGAGCAGAAGAAAGAAGATCCAGGTGCGCGAAAAGGTAGGAAAGTCGCGAGACGCTGTGTTTTTTTAATGATTTGTGGCTCCGGAGGGTCGGAAAGTAGGCTCGCTAAAGCGGCGGGTGCAGAGCCAGCTGGCCAGATGAGAGATGGAAAATTGCACGCCGTTGTGGCGCGAAGCACATTTCGAAGTCAAAATGTACAAAACACACCAGGTCCAGACCACTTTTGGCAGTTGAGATGTCGAAAAAGTGCACGCCGTTGTGGCGCGAAGCACATTTCGAAGTCAAAATGTTAAAAACACCCGGGGTTCGGACCACTTTTGGGGTTTCAGATGTCGTTTCGCATGGCAGGCGCAAGGGATTGTGCACCTTGTCAAAACTGAGCAAAACGACGGGGTTTCGTAGCATTTTCAACTACAACCACCACTACACCACACTACACTCCAATACACTACACTGCAACTACAACTACAACTACACCTTCACTACATTCCACTACACTACACTCCGCTACACTCCACTACACTCCACTCCACTACACTACCCTCAATTACATTCAATTACATTCAATTACACTACATTACACTACACTCCACTACACTACATTACGCTACACTATGCTACCTTAAACTACATTACACTACACTCCACTACACTACAACTACAACTACAACTACACAACTACACTCCACTACACTCCACTACACCCCGCTACACTAAATAACACTACACTACACTACATTACACTACACTACATTCCACTACACCCCACTACACTACACTACATTACACTACACTACACTACATTCCACTACACTACACTGCACTACACTCCATTACATTCCACTACACTACACTACACTACATTCCTCTACACTACACTACACTAACTACAACTACAACTACAACAAGAACTACAACTACAACTACCATACTACATTTACACTAGCTACACTACACTACACTACACTAGACTCCACTACACTACACTACACTGAATGACACGGCACCACAGATAGACAGATAGATAGATAGATAGGTAGATAGATACACAGATAGACAGGTAGACAGATAGACAGATAGACAGATGAAAAAGAGAGAGAGAGAGATAGATAGGTAGATAGGTAGATAGATAGATACATAGTTAGATAGACAGATGAGATAGATAGCTAGATAGATAGATAAACAGGTAGACAGATAGACAGATAGATAGACAGATAGACAGATAAATAGATAGATAAGTAGATAGATAGATAGACAGATAGATAGATAGGTAGGTAGATAGGTAGATAGATACATAGATAGATACATAGTTAGATACATAGGTGAGATAGATAGCTAGCTAGCTAGCTAGCTAGATAGGTAGATAAACAGGTAGACAGATAGACAGGTAGAGAGACAGGTAGCTAGATGGATGGATGGATGGATGGATAGATAGATAGATAGATACATAGTTAGATAGACAGATGAGATAGATAGATAGATAAACAGGTAGACAGATAGACAGATAGATAGAGAGACAGGTAGCTAGATAGATAGGTAGGTAGATAGATAGACAGATAGACAGATAGACATATAGACAGACAGACAGACAGATAGATAGACAGACAGACAGACAGAGAGAGAGAGAGAGATAGATGGATACATAGATAGATAGGCGGGTAGGTAGGTAGATAGTCAGAGAAAGAGACAGAAAGAGAGAGAAGGAGAAGAGACCTCAACCACCTGTCGGTCCATCAGTGGCTTCGCTCTGCCATCCGTGATTCACAACAACCAACCTCTCCTATAGGCTTCCTATTTTTGAAACTTCCGCCACCGCCTTGTGCGGTACTACTGGTATGTTACTATTATCCTACTAATGTCTTTTTCGCATGCTTTTCAATATTTTCTGTTAAGTTAGATTTTTGAATTGAACTTGCTATAGCGACCGGCGAAAAGATAGAATATTGTACTCTTAGTCGGGACAAGATAGAATATTTCATAAACCCTGAAAACACAGGGTCTAGCACCCACAAGATAGAATATTCTGAAATTAAAACTAATCAAAAGATAGAATATTCGATCTTGTCGCCGGTCGGTACAGATAATTTTGGAATTGGGGGGAAATCCCAGTAAATCCCAGTAAAGTCATGCTACCTCTTGTCTTGCTGCAAAAGCCTCTTTTTACAGCTCAATTTGCCGGGCTGCATATCCTGTGGAAACTATATACAATGGGATTGCTTCAAACATGCATTTTTGAGCCTTATCAAAGCTCAAAGAATAACATTAAAAAATTGAAAAACAATGACAAGCAATGAAAAATAATGAAAAATAGTGAACACCAATGAAAAAATAATGATAAATACACAAAAAAAATGAAACACGGAAGCATTTCCATGCAATGGAAGGCCTCCAAATATATAATTTGGAGCCATGTCACGCCAGGGTCTCGAAAATATTCTACCTTGTCCGTTTTCATGTTTTTGCGCCTTATCAAAGCTCAAAGAACAATATTAAAGAATTGAAAAAATAATGAAAACACAATGTAAATTAATGAAAACTGTGTCAAAAACAGTGCACGCATGATGAAAAGCAATGAAAAATAAGTAAAAACATAGAAAAAAAATGAAAAATAATGAAAAGTAATGAGCTATTGTAAAACTATAGCAAAAAAATGGAAAATATATATATATAATAATGAAAAAACAATGAAAAAAGGAAAATACAATACAGAAAAGATGAAAGAACAATGGATTCCATTTTGTATCCCGTTGGAGTCCCCGTTGTATTACCCCGGGTGGATGGGTCGAAGTCCTTGAGCCAGACCTGGAGGGCCTGTCACCCCTTCCGGACCTGGAGGGCCTGTCAACCCCATATTCTATTTACATTGTTTTCATCATTTTTTCAATCTTTTTTCAATGGTTTCATCATTTTTTGTTCATTGTTTTTCCTCTGTTTTTCATTAGTACTCATTAGTTTTTCATTGTTTTTCTCTATTTTTCAATATTCTTTCATTATTGTGCGCATTGTTTTTTCTCAATTTTTATTATTTTTCATTGTTTTGTCACGATGTTTTCATGATGTTTTCTCTGTTTTCCATTGTTCTTTCATCTTTTCTGTATTTTTTCCATTTTTCATTGTTTCTTCCTTATTTCTTTTATGCTTTTATTTTTTCATTGTTTTTGCTATAATTTTACTATGGCTCATTACTTTTCATTATTTTTCGTTTTTTTCTATGTGTTTACTTATTTTTCATTGCTTTTCATCATGCGTTCATTGTTTTCCTATAGTTTTCATTATTTTTCATTGCGTTTTCATTGTTGTTCATTGCTTTTCATTTTTTTAATATTGTTCTTTGAGCTTTGATAAGGCTCAAAAATTCGAAAACGGACAAGATAGAATATTTTCGAGACCCTGGCGTGACATGGCTCCAAATTATATATTTGGAAGCCTTCCATTGCGCGGAAATTTGTCCGTATGTTTCGTTGTTTTTGTTGTATTTTTCATTTTTTCAGTGGTTTTTACTATGTTTTATTGCTTGTCATTGTTTTTCACTGCTTTTCAGTTTTTGAATATTATTCTTTGAGCTTTGATAAGGCTCAAAAATACGAAAACGGACAAGAAATAATATTTTCGAGACCCTGGCGTGACACGGCTCCAAATTATGTATTTGGAAGCATTCCATTGCGTGGAAATGCTTGTGTGTTGATTTCCAAGATAGGTGTATATATATATAAATATATAGAGAGATATAGATATATAACCGTGGCAGGAGGGGTCCACTTGGCATGTTGGCTTAGCTGATTTGCTTTGGGATACTTGGATACCCAGGATACTTCCAAAGTTAAGATGTATGGATGTATATGTATATATATATATACTCATCACATCTATTGATCTATATACTGCAGGACATAGCTTCAAACCTGCATAGCCCAAACTGTGACCACCAACAAAAATCATATGTTTTGAGCCCGGG